TTGTAATCAGAAAACTTAATAGAAATTAATACAATGTTTAATACAATATGGAATAATGATTAACAGTTAAATGACTTAGAATAATGTATGTAATTAATAATGGTTAATTTAAATTTTGACGAAACGTAAGTGGATTTAATTGTAATTAATAATCTATGGGACATGTATTTGAATGTATACCAGTGCCTGCAATAAAAATGATTTATTATTATTATTATTTATTATAATAAAATGTCTGTTCTGTACCCCTAGCACGAACCAATATCGAATTCGTATCGTTTGCGAGTCCGAAATGTCATTGACAAATGTGTACTGATTTTTAGTTCTCATTACATACTTTGTGCCGCTGCTGTTCAAGTTTCCATACAAAATTTGATATTGACATTTCGGTTTGCAAACTATTCGAATTCGATAATGGTTCAAGCTAGGGGTACTTGTATCTTTTATTTCATATTTGGTATGTATTGTTTACATAAAAAACCGTCAATCCACGCTGGATTGAGCGTCCCTTCCCTCTCATCTTAACCTTTTGTAATCTCATCGTAACCTTATGACTTATTGGGATATTGGAAAAGGTTCTATATTTGGAAACCAAAACCAAATGGAGTAAAATTTATGTCATGTTGAAACAAAAATATGTTAATGATCAAAGACATTATAGTAAATTATTATTAAATATCTTTGATAATGATAGTTATGTTAATGAAGTAATATCTATCCTTGGCAAAATATCAGCAGGTATTGTTATGTGTCTTATGATTTGAGAATTTTCTTTAAATAACATCTCTTTAGATTTGAGTAGTCCATTTTTCTTTTCCATTAGTTTATTAGTAGTTACTGCACATGGGTGACATGAGCTGTAAATTGTGGAAAATGTTTGAATACCAAACCTACCTAATTTATTTGTAAATTATTGTTCTGCATAATTTTTTCCCCAATCTTTTTATATTTTATTTAATATTTAATAGTTATTCAGCTATTCAGGGCGGATACAAATCAGAAAAACAGAACTCATGAAAATCAGTCAAGCCATTGTTGAGTTAGTGGTGAATCTAACACAACTTTATTTTATATAATATTTATGATATATTTAATGATAAATGACTGCTATCTTGTAAGGAAGTATAATTTAGAAAGACAAAATACAATGAACTAGTGTAAATTTCAATATTTTTTATTTTTATTTATTAGGTATATTCTTTTAAGTTCTTTTTGTTTTGAGATAACAGGATCCATTACCTTATTTAATATATATAACAAAGAGTTATATCTCTTCTATAATAGATTTTTAGACCTTGGTCAATATTTATCTGACTAAATTATAAATAGGCAATAACCTAAAAGCTAATGGATGCAAATGCCCATTTAGGCACCATTGCAATTTGTCTAATAAAATATTTATATTTTACATTTTGTCAACACACAAACAACATTTCTGGACAAAATGTAAATTAATATTTAAGAAATTATCTTATATGCCATTTGGGACAATAACAAACACTTTTCCTTACAGAAATTAAAATGTAAAATAAAGTCAAAATTTACATATCTTTACAAGTTTAACAATAACAAGTGCAAAGTATTCTTCGATACTAATATTATAAATTTTAATGTGTTTCTAACTGTTTGTTACTTCTTCATACTTAGACTGCTAAACCAAGTTAGATGAATTGGGTAGAGAGATAGTTTGCATCCCAGGGAAGTCAATAGGATAGTTATTATTCCAGAAATCAACCTTTAATGGGGTGAAATGGGGGTGGAAGTTTGGGTACCCAATTTGTGTTGTGATATTAGTATAAAGCTTGTTTAAAAAAGGTTTTTTGGGTGGATAAGTAGTTGGGAAGTATAATTAACTAACAACCCAATATCAATTGACCTGGGAGACTTATCACTACTTCAGTATGAAATTGATTTGACACTTAAAATCCATTTATTAGTATGTCATACTGCCTATTTACCTGCATTTCGTCAAATACTATGAATACAAAAGTGAGTCTGTTTGTTGCTTATGCTTTAAAGCCTCAACCACTGAAACAATAATGCTGAATTTTGGTATTGAGATAGGAGGGACCCTGGAGATGGTTATGGGCTTTATGTTGTGAAAATAAAACTAAAAGGAGGTAAAATTTTGTATGGAAAACTAATTAAGCCACACAAAGGAAGTGGCAAGCAGCTACTAGCAATAAATATACATAATCTGACCATGATCTAGTTATTTATTATGAAAAATAAAAAGTGGGCTTCTAATATCATTCACCTGATCAAAGTAGTTTTGTGGCAGAGGAACAGAAATGACCCCATCTTTGTTTCCAAGTCATTGATTTTGCATTATATCCATAATATCTCATGTTGCTATAAATTTGATAGAAAACCTTGGGAACTTTAACAGTGGCAATATGATTACGAATCTGTCAAAATTTGTGCTTGGGGTACTGAATGTCAATTTCGATATTTAAATTTGATGGTTTAACAATATTTAAAAACCAATAAATATATATATAAACCGTAAAATACATATAAATAAATCATATAATCCCATTTTTTATAAACTTAACTTCATACAATTTTTCTATACCTAACTGTGCCCTGTGATTTCACAAGCGTTACTTTGTGAAAAAGGTTATGTGAGTCAACTTTAAAAGATAGACATGCTATCTTTGACTTTTTTTATAACTTTTTAAGGGGAACAATTCTGTCATACATAATTTTTGCATGACTTTAATCTTTACACAGCACATGCAACAGAAACTCTCAAAAGGAATATTTTTTCCATTTTTGCAAACGCGTTTCATTGATGCTCTGCTGCTATTAATCATAGCGAGATGTTAAAAGCCTTTCATAGGGCCGTCCATTAATCACATGAGGTTTTTTTTGCCGTTTTTTGACCCCCCCTCCCCCTTGGTGATATATGGTGAGGTTTAAGACTACCCCCCGCCCCCCCATATCACATGTATTTTTTAGTATATTATTATTTTGTTAAAATATTTATAAAATACAGGTATAAAGTATCAATGTTGCAGATTGTTTTTGACTGACATAAAAATAATGAAAGAAATGTGAAAAAGTTATACATGAACATTATTAATTATAGTATCCTCGGACCACGGAAATACATGTGATATATTACTACAGCCCCCCTCCCCACTTGCGATATTTCATGATTTTTTATGGACTCCTCTCCCCCTTTTCGAGCCTCACACGTGATTAATGGACAGCCCCTTAATTATAGGCTGCCATGCCAAGGCATGCATTAGTGACAATATTAACAGTGTATTCTTAACAAAACTATAAAAGTATAAAATAAGGATGTATTATATTCACAAACATGTTATTGTTTCACTCACATTGAACAGGCATCTGAACATAACCAATATGACAGAACAATTGTGTAGTACGAAAACAAGAGATACTACACAATTAATAACACAAACCTCATAATGCTAAGCCAAAGCAAAATTCTATGTTTGATTAATGACAGATGAAGCAACATTTTTTTTTTAATTTACCATAGTCACTAAATAGTTCAAGATATCGCACCTTTATTCCAATACTGTCATTAAACAAAATTGTTCAAAAAATAGTTTACAACGCCATCTATTTGCTACATTATGAATATACACATTACTTCAAATCCTGTATTTTAATTTTATTTTATGATAATGACAGTATTGGAATAAAGGTGCGATATATCAGCCTTTCCGAGGCCGACATTTTATTGTAATATGATTGCATACAACACAGATATTGATGCATGATATGTCATTTCAATCTTAGATAATTTAATGGCAATATGAAATACAATATTTTATGACAGAAAAATAAAATTATTCAATGAATGTCAATAGAAAAGAGGAATGACCCATAGTATTCATTGGCATTTAAGATTTTTTCATGACTTCCAGCCAGTCATTGGGTTTGAAATTTAAAAGTTAAGGTACATAACTGTAAAGTTATGTGCAAGAGCCGCAGCCAGGCATATTATGCATTAATTTTTAAATTAGTGTTTCTATGAAAATATTCACACAAAAAGTGATGTATTCAATACTTTGGCTTTGATATTTTAACCACAAAAAGAACCAATTCTGTGTAGAAATTAACGTTCAGCCATTGTAAGTAGAAATTGCATAAGCATTGTTGCAGACCACATGTTATGAATTAAATAGGAGCGAGGAACCTGTTCGGGTCCTTAATATACGCGGTCGCCGCACCAAAGAGTCGCAAACGGCAAGCCTGTCGCCATAATTTAAAACGATACCGCAGAGTTAGTTTTATTGTGCACATACGAGACTTTAACGTACACAACATATTGCCATTTGAGGACGGCGCAATAAATGAGCACAAACGAGCGAAAGCCACTTAGACCAAATTTACACTTTGTGGGAGACCGCGGTTGCAGTCGCAGAGAGCGGGGCGGCCCGCGGGCGCGCCTGTCAGCTGCTCGCTACATAATACCCATTCACTTACCTATACATACACAATACGCATTAATAATACGTAGGAACTGCATAACAATCCGTGTTAGGAACTGGCCAGAACTATATTTACTACTCTCTAAAACTACTTTCATTATTTCTAAATAATAATTACACAAACACTAATTTTCGAAGTAATTTTACACAGGGTGCGTTCGATGGGTCAATGCACTGGCGAGGCGACGTCCTAAGCGATTACAGTGCCGTTTAATAATAAGATTTAGGATTATAATAAGAAATCGAACATCAAGGTTAGAGTAAAATCAAAGTTCATATTTTTTTAACAATTTTAAACAAGGGTTTCTGATATTGGAATGATTTTTGAAAAGTACCTACCAAAATATAAATTTTAGGCTTGTTAAAACCGGAATAATATAATTTAGTAGCAAGGATCTGAAATATGTAAACAAAGTTTATGGTGTTGACCATAATTAGGGAGTTGTTAATTAATTTATTGTATCTAGTTTTTATTGTCATAAGATCAAATGTGCGTAGGTTTTGATGACTTTAGTTAGATTCTGCACTCACCTCTAGATCTTCGTAGGTGCGAAATGCCATTATGGCGAAGCCATCAATGATATCCTCTTCTCCCAGCGGCTCCCGCGACTTCTTTCTCCTGGCTGGAGGACGAGGAGGCTTCTCTCTCGCCGGAGACTCGTCCTCGCCGCTGTCCCCATCCTTAACTTTGCTCTCTCGCTGTGCTTGCATGCGCTGTGCCCGCTCCCTTCGCCTATTTCTCTGATTGCGCTGCTTCACTTCGTTTTCCATCGTTTGCACATTATTCGAATCACCCGACCACCGTGCTTCACTACACTAAAGTCCGCACTACACTTGTATCACACATGGTTAACCGATGTTTCTATACCGTGATAATGAACAAAATACAAATCTTACACTCAGAAAAAGACACTAGCCGTTTCCAATGGCGGATCGTACACCGTTGCCGCATTGCAAGTAAAATGGCCGCGTAGCACTCGACGGGCTGTCTTCTTTCACTTTCACGTAAACGGAGGCATAATTACACTTACACTAAGACATATTACAATAAATTTCAACAAGAACTAAGGCAATAATAAGTTAAATTAACTTTATACATTATTCTGTATGTTCTGATTCAGTCAATAGTCAATACAATGAAAGGTGTTTCACGACGCTAGCGCTACGGTGCGGTCGCGATGGTGAACTAAATCTGTTCTGCCAACATAACAAAACGCACATTCCGCGATATTGGGCGTCTTTGGCAATGTGGCTCTTGTTTTACTACTTTAACAAATAGCGCTATCTCCGTTTACGTCTTATATTTTAAATTCAAAATATAATATTAATGTGTCTAAATATATTATTTAATTTAAAATTAGTAAAAGTTTTTTTCATTTGAGTGCAAAATATGAAATGAATAGGTATAATTTAAAAGAAAATATTGAAACTAAATTGGAGTTTCTGTGTTGGTATTGCAGCACTGTAGACATTCAGTCTGTGTCGTTTTGTTTTTTATTCCAACTACAAACAATATTATTTGTGTTCTTTCCATGGTACTTTTGTTATTATGTACACACGTTTTTCTTTTCTGTACAGAACACAGTGTTTGTTTGTTGCAATTTTTGTTTGGAGCTTGATAATGTACGCATAGACGTTGTGAAGTTGGAACGTGTCAATTTTGACACTTGTGTCTTTTAACACACACGTTCGCTCGATGCCGCTCGCCTGTGTTTACCTTTATAGCTGCGTTCTAGGTGGAGCAATTTTTTACATAGGTATTCTAGTATATTTTGTATGATTCATTTTCAAGCGCAGTTTACGACCAACTAGAACTTTAATAATAGTTTTATTTGGGGTCGAATATTTATGTAATATTCTAATATTTTAAATGTGACAGTTTGTATTTTTGTTACTCATCACGCAAAAACTACTGAACGAATTTTAACGAAATTTGGTATGTACCTAAGCTTAAAGTTTATGACCTAGATTGAAACATGGATACTTTTACATCATGGATATATATATATATTATGATTCGGCGAAATTTGGACCGCCCAAAAGTAATTATTTGCAATAAAATTATTATTTTATTGCGACTATAAATTTTGACAACCTTTGTGGCCGACTACTGGTTTGTAGGCCGGGTTTCATGGTGACGCTGACTCGAGAGGTCCCGGGTTCGAATCCCGGTGGATGCAGTGTACTCCAGTCATGGATGTTTAATATGTATTTCTATTTAAATATACTAATATATGTACTGTATATGTATTCTATCCGTTACCCTAGTATCCCATAATACAAGTCTTACAGTGCTTACTTTGGGGCTAGGCTAATTGGTGTGAGCAAAAAAAAATTGAGATGTAAGCTATCCTATCTTTCAAGATGGATCAAACTGCACACGGTGTGCAAAGATTAAAATCGGATAAGAAGCTAGTTGAGGAGTCCATCCCGGACAAACAACGTGACGCGTAATTATTTGATATATTATGAAGGTAGTAACGCCCGCAGCGTTGCAGCCTCTTTGCTTGTCAAGTGCCTACGGCTGGCAGTCATATTAAAAATTATTATATATAAATTCATTACAATTTGATTAAGTACCTTTAGACCAGGCTCGATAATTTTTGAGACCAAAAAAAACTGTTTTAGGATGAAACCCATTGGAAAAGGTATAGAATATAACAAAAATGAAAGGAAAAATAAATTACGGCCGATCTGAGGTCGGGAAAGGAGAGGGGGTGAGTTTTTAAGGGTAAAAAACGGTTAATCTCGATTTCCGGTAAAACTATAAGTCTCATGAAAAAAAGTTAAATGGCAAAGTTGTAGGTAATAAAAAGATCTACAAATTTTGTATCGACACTTTTTTCACATAACCTCAAAATGTATGTGAAAAATTCGAATAACCGGGTTTTTGGTTTTTTACTTTTTGCAAAAAAAAAATTTTTCACCAAATTTAGTGAAAACTTAGCTTTGTATGTCCCGAACATACAGTATTTTTTTTTATTTAAGATATTCATTTTTTCACCTTATTTAGACTTAATATCGAAAAAGCACCCTAATTTTCAATCGAAAATTCTCACTTCAAAATATCTGCTTTTTAAAAAAAGTTGGTGTGTTTTTTGTTTGTTGAAATCTCTGCTTTCTGATGGTATAAAAAAAATATACACTACTATGGTAAATGTTGAGATTAATAAAATGGTAATTCTATTCCGAAAATATATATATATATATATTTTCCACCTGTGCTTAATTAAAGAGTCTGCATGTCAGAGAGGAGGAGGAGCTCGATGGCGAAGGTGGTTAGCGCGTTCAACTTGCGGTCGTGAGAGTTAAGTAAACAACTTTCGCAATGGTCGGTCATTGGGTGGGTGACCAAAAAACTTATTATCTCGAGCTTCTTCGTGCTTCGGAACGCATAATAAGCATTTGTTCCCAGCTGCATCTACAATACAGGCGTTCAGGAGTAATATCTGACACACATGAATGTGGACAACTGGGACTATTTTTTTTGGGTTCCTGTACCTTTAGGGGGACAAACGTAACACTCTGTCACATAGATGAAAAAACCACGATGTAAGTGAAACTTTTAATATCATTAGTAGTCTTTCCTTGGCTAGGAATCAATCCCGGGCCGCCCGCGTTGCAGGCGATCTTTCTACTACTGAACCACCGATGCTTGTTGTTACTAAGGTCTCTTTTTTTAATAACAATTAAAAATATAATGCGATCTGCTAAAGATTAAAGAAAATATTAGTGGTAATGTAAATAAAACTTTCACTTAAAAAAAGACGATAGTTATGTATCACAAGAAAAAGCTCTTGTTTAACCTTGATTTACCTAAAATGTGATTTTTCGACTCGGTCTATCGTTTAAGTTACTGTACTGTGCTACGGAACCCTTAATATATGAAGCGGACTCTTGGCCGATTTTTTGAAAGAGTTCAGACTGCTATGATGGCAAAATCGGCCAAGTGCGTATTGGACTTCCACAGGACGAGTGTTTGGTTGGAACGAAGTCAAGCAAGAAAGAAAATTTTCAGGTCGAACATAAAATGTTGGAAAATTACATTTCTTGTATCTGTCTCTTTTATTTTGAGGTTTATTTAATTTTTCAAGATTATTTTATTTAGTTCCACCTGCATCATTGCCTACTTGTCGCTCAAATCTTGGAAGTGATTTGACTCACTTTCTTGAATTCGATTGCATTGATGTATTGTTTTGTTAGATCATCATCATCAATAGCCTATCCTAGTCCACTGCTGGACATAGGCCTCTCTAAATGCACGCCACTCAGATCGATCTTGGGCTACTCGTATCCAGCTCCTGCCAGCCACCTTGCGCAATCATCAATCCATCGTGTCTGAGGACGTCCTACACTACGTTTGCCTAGACGCGGTCTCCACTCCAGAACTCGTCTACCCCAACGGTTATCGGTTCTTCGGCAAATATGGCCAGCCCACTGCCACTTCAACTTGCTAATCCGGTGGGCTATGGCGATGACTCTGGTTCTCTGTCGGATTACCTCATTTCTGATGCGATCCTTCAGAGAAACGCCGAGCATAGCCCTTTCCATAGCGCGCTGAGCGACTTTGAACCTGTGGACCAGCCGTACCGTCAGTGTCCACGTTTCGGCTCCGTATGTTATTACAGGTAGGACGCACTGATTGAAGACTTTCGTCTTTAGGCACTGTGGGATCGACGATGTCAGGACTTGACGTAGCTTCCCAAACGCTGCCCAACCTAGCTGAATTCTTTTATTCACCTCGTCCTCAAAGTTGTTTCTACCTAACTGCAATGTCTGCCCGAGGTATACATATTTTTGAACAACTTCGAGAGCGGCATGGAGTGTATTGCAATCGGTTCCGGTAGTACATGTTCATTGAACATGACCTTGGTTTTATCCAAGTTCATCCGTAGGCCGATGCGTACAGAAGACTCAGCCAGGTCATTCAGCATTTTTTGTAGGTCCTGCAGGATTTCTGCCATGATGACGATGTCGTCTGCAAATCGCAAGTGAGAGATGCGTTCGCCATTGATGTTGATGCCATGTCCTTTCCCGTTCAGCGTCTTGAACATATTCTCCATTGCATTAGTGAACAATTTCGGGGAAATAACGTCCCCTTGTCTCACTCCACGATGCAACGGTATGGGACTTGTTTGCTGATTCTGTACTTGGACAGACATGGTGACGGCTTCGTAGAGACATCTTATCACTTGGATGTATCGCCAGTAGACTTGGCAACGCTGCAGGGACTCCAGGACAGACCAGATTTCAATCGAGTCAAAGGCCATCTCAAATGCTAGGCACAGGAGCTGATTGTACTCTCCAGACTTCTGTATAATCTGCCGTACTGTGTGGATGTAATCTATGGTGCCGTATCCGCTCCAAAACCCAGCCTGTTCCGGTGGTTGGAAGTCATCAAGTCTTCGAGCAAGACGGTTCGCGATTACTCTTGAGAACAGCTTATAGACGTGGCTTAGAAGAGATATGGGTCGATAGTTCTTAAGTAGGGTCTTGTCCCCCTTTTTAAAGAACAAGACGACCACACTCCTACTTCACACCTCCGGAGTTCTCCCTTCGAAAAGGACAGTGTTAAAAAGCTTTTGGAGCTCCCTCAGTACAGGTTTACCTCCAGCTTTCAAGAGTTCTGTTGTAACACCATCCTCTCCAGGGGCTTTTCCATTACTAAGCCGCCCAAGAGTCTCGATTTCGTCAAAACTGACTTCTGGCAGGTCTTCGGTGAAGTGGCATGTTAATGTGGCTCTAGAATCCTCATTTCCGGGACCGGGTCGAGATGCATGTGATGCGTACAACTCGCCGTAGAAGTTTTCCACCTCCGAAAGGACTGCCGGCTTTGAAGCAACAACTTCCCCACTTGCTGTGGTCAGCTTCGTCAGATGGCTTCTTCCAAGAGATTGTACGAACACTTTGGAACCTCGATTCTGCTCGATCGCTCTCTCGATCGAGAGAGTATTGTAGCACCGGAGGTCGTGTCGTACGTGCTTACTGATCTCTTGGTTTAGAGTCCGCTTTGCCGACGAAGTGACGGATGGATTTTCACGTCGTTCCTTCATTAACCCTAAAGTCTCTTCCGAAAGCTTTGACTTCCTGCCCTTACGCTGTGTTGCACATAATCTCGTACCCTCTTCCCTGAGGATCCGAACCATATTTTTGAGGTTTTGGTTTACGTCTGATGTGGTTTCCACGGCAGCAAATCGGTTCTCCAGATTTGACTGGAACGTTTCAGATCCTGTTATAGATTGGAGCAGAGTAGGTCGGAGCCTGGACTTCATCAAACGGACGCGCTCGGCCTTAAAGTTGATATTCAGAGAGCCCCGGACGAGTCGGTGATCACTACCGGTATTGAACCTATTGAACACGGAGACGTCTCTGAATATATACGAGTACCTCTTGTCCGTCATGATGAAATCGATCTCATTTTTAGTCATAGCGTCGGGGCTTTGCCACGTCCTCTTCCTTTGGCACTGTTTCTTGAAGAACGAGTTCATCAAGAAGAGCCCTTCCCGTTCGAGGAAGTTGACGAGCATTTGCCCCCTATGATTTCTGCTTCCAAATCCATGGGATCCTACTACCGATTCGCTGCAATTCTGTACTCCCACTTTAGCGTTGAAGTCCCCCATAACAACGTTGTAGTGGGTCTTAGTTGTGGAGTGGAGAGCCCTCGATATATCATCGTACATATCCTCCACTTCGTCGTCCGAGTGTGTCGAGGTCGGTGCGTACAGTTGCACCACCTTGAGGCTATACCTCTCGGTGG